CACTGCTATATCAACACACAACCATAATACTACTACTACTTATACCCCCTATCACCCTCGCATCACCTCACTTACTACTATACTATATATACAAATATCATCTATATACTACATATACTCACATCATAAACAGAATAAATATGTATGTATATACCGCACTCGTATTCCTATGTCATGCTCCACCGCCCACCCCACGCCCACGTCAGTCTTCAACCCGTATCTCTATTTTTTCCAGAATCGTGCCGACCTGGGCTTCCGTTCTTCCGTGGCGGGGTGGCGGCGCCGGCGCGGCTTCTGCAGCTTTGGACAAGGTAGCTCTTCATTCTCCTTGTATGACTGTTACTGCGGTTATACATTATCTGAACCTGACTACCTGACAGTACACTCCCTTCTATTAGTATCTCGCATCTACTTGCCTCTCACACTACTACTTTCTTATCCTAATCTCGCACTCCTCATCCTACTCGCACCCCAAATCACTATTTCCATCTCGCTATCTCGCACCTCTTCTACTACCGCACCACCTACTGCCTTTCTTCATTGTATCTGCATCTACTTATCATGACATACGGGTAATTTTTACTCAGTATCTACCACCCCGCAGTCCCGCCTCTACTACGTAAAATACGTACTTTTCCGTGTTCCAGTTATCCTGCATTCCTATATTGCAAATACTACTTTTTTATATCTTAACTCCACTCACGGTGAAATATTATCATATCAACCATTCTATACTACTCCGTATCTGCATCATAGTCCCTTATTCTCGAAATCTACTACCATGATTTACAATTACGTATCATGATAATACCTAGATTGATAAAAATGCTGATACCATTACACCTTTAGCAAGTGATTTAATGATCATAATGATAGTGATAATGGTAATCATAAGTTCTAACACATTGGGTGATACTTTTGTTTCCCTACAAGTATTTCTTTGTTTTCATTTTAGAAATACCTTGCTACCGTGTACTTCCCAATGGGTTGTTAAAGAAGCTAAAAAAAAAAAAACAAAAAAAACAAAAAAACACAAAAAAAAAACCACAGAAATTACCTTGGCCATATTATCTCCCTCGACAATTCTAGCTCCATTATTCCGTCTCGTTAGCATTATCCAATTTTCCCCAATTCTCCCCATCTCTTTGTTACTCTCTTCCTCGAACCCTCCAAACTATCTTTCCAAAATGATTTGAATTTATTCATTTAAATCTCATTATCTTGTTTTGAAAGATATGATAACTATGCCTTTCAGATGAGGACAAAATGGCGTATGTAATGAAAAACATGGCGACCATTTGGGAAGAGATAGAGGAGATACGCCAAGAGATAAACCTCCACCTGCATGACGGCCATGAGGAGGAAGGTCATGATAAGGTCAGGCTTTTGCTTGCAGTGAAGACCCTTATGTGTGTGTGTGTGTCTATATGCGTGTCTCTGTGTCTACATGCGTGTCTGTGTATGTGTACGTGTTATATTATATATATATATATGTGTGTGTGTGTGTGTGTGTGTGTGTGTGTGCGGGTGTCTTTATATGAGCTTACATGTGTGTATGTGTATATGTATGTATGTATGTACACATATGCGTGTGTACGCATATATATATATATATATATATATATATATATATATATATATATATATATATATATATATATATATTCGATCTTAATCCTATTTGTTCAGGCTTTATGAGTGATGAAATAAGTTTCCTTTCCTCCTCTCCTCTGCTTTCGACTTCCCCCTCCTCTCTTCTCCCGTCTCCCTGTCTTCCTTCTAGCTCTCTCCTTCTCTCTCTTTCCTACTTTCGACGAAGCGGTAACGATGTGATGTTGCAGGCCGTGGAGGAGGTGGATTTGCTTCTCCATGAGCACGAGACGCACCATCTGCACCATGAGCACGAGGGGCACGAGGGGCACCATAACGAGGAGATGCTGCAGTAAGTGGATGTTGGTGGACCTGTGTATGGACACACACACGCACCACACACACAACACGCACACACACCAACGCTTACACACCTTTACACACACTCACACACACACACACACACATACCGAATATAATATATATATATATATATATATATATAGACATATGTCTATATATATATGTATATATATATATATATATATATATATATATATATATATATATATAATATATATATATTATATATATATATATATATATATTATACACATCACACACACACACACATATGGTATATATACACCATATGCTTTATATTTCTTTATTATTACTGCATTGTTGTATCCAATATATGCGCGCAATGCAAATAACACGAAGTGAAACGCACAAAACAATTGATTCAATATAAAAATTATTCGGAAATTAAAGGAATTTTCGAATTTTGCAGACACTTAGAAAACACACACGGACATGAGGGAGACCATCACGACGACCACCATGACGACCACCACCATGACCATCACCATGACCACCATGACCACCATGACCATCACCATGACATCACCATGACCACCATGACGACGACCACCACGAAGACCATCAGCATGACCACCACGATGACCATGGCCTCCATGACGACCACCACGACCACCACCATGAGGATCACCATCATGAAGACCACCATAATGACCATCAACATGAAGTGCACCATGAGGACGACCACCATGCCGACCATCAACATGAAGTGCACCATGAGGACGACCACCATGCCGACCATCAACATGAAGTGCACCATGAGGACGACCACCATGACGACCATTCGCATGAAATGCACCATAAGGACGACCACCATGACGACCATCAACATGAAGTGCACCATGATGACGACCACCATGCCGACCATCAACATGAAGAGCACCATGAGGACGACCACCATGCCGACCATCAACATGAAGTGCACCATGAGGACGACCACCATGACGACCATCCGCATGAAGAGCACCATAAGGACGACCACCATGACGACCATCAACATGAAGTGCACCATGAGGACGACCACCATGCCGACCATCAACATGAATGCACCATGAGGACGACCACCATGCCGACCATCAACATGAAGTGCACCATGAGGACGACCACCATGACGACCATCAACATGAAATGCACCATAAGGACGACCACCATGACGACCATCAACATGAAGAGCACCATGAGGACGACCACCATGCCGACCATCAACATGAAGAGCACCATGAGGACGACCACCATGCCGACCATCAACATGAAATGCACCATGAGGACGACCACCATGACGACCATCAACATGAAGTGCACCATGAGGACGACCACCATGCCGACCATCAACATGGCACCATAAGGACGACCACCATGACGACCATCAACATGAAGGCACCATGAGGACGACCACCATGCCGACCATCAACATGAAGAGCACCATGATGACCCAACATGCCACCATGACGACCCCATGACCAACATGAAGTGCACCATGAGGACGACCACCATGACGACCATCAACATGAAGAGCACCATGAGGACGACCACCATGACGACCATCAACATGAAGTGCACCATGATGACGACCACCATGCCGACCATCAACATGAAGAGCACCATGAGACGACCACCATGCCGACCATCAACATGAAGAGCACCATGATGACGACCACCATGCGACCATCAACATGAAGAGCACCATGATGACGACCACCATGCCGACCATCAACATGAAGAGCACCATAAGGACGACCACCATGCCGACCATCAACATGAAGTGCACCATGAGGACGACCACCATGCCGACCATCAACATGAAGAGCACCATGAAGACGACCACCATGACGACCATCAACATGAAGTGCACCATGAGGACGACCACCATGCCGACCATCAACATGAAGAGCACCATGAGGACGACCACCATGCCGACCATCAACATGAAGAGCACCATGAGGACGACCACCATGCCGACCATCAACATGAAGAGCACCATGATGACGACCACCATGCCGACCATCAACATGAAGAGCACCATGAGGACGACCACCATGACGACCATCAACATGAAGTGCACCATGAGACGACACCATGCGACATCAACATGAAGTGCACCATGAGGACGACCACCATGCCGACCATCAACATGAAGAGCACCATGAGGACGACCACCATGCCGACCATCAACATGAAGAGCACCATGATGACGACCACCATGCCGACCATCAACATCATGATGACCACCATGACCATCCGCACCATGATGACGACCACCATGACGACCATCAACATGAAGTGCACCATGAGGACGACCACCATGCCGACCATCAACATGAAGAGCACCATGATGACGACCACCATGCCGACCATCATGAGAGCACCATGATGACGACCACCATGCCGACCATCAACATGAAGAGCACCATGATGACGACCACCATGCCGACCATCAACATGAAGTGCACCATGATGACGACCACCATGCCGACCATCAACATGAAGTGCACCATGAGGACGACCACCATGACGACCATCAACATGAAGAGCACCATGAGGACCACCATGATCATCACCACCATCACGACGACCACCACCACCATCATGGCCAGCAAAAACAATATTAAGAATTGTAATGGGAGATATGTGAGAGCGCATGTGATGTGATTTTGTCTTTTCTTTGTCTACATGAAGGGGGAAATAGTTGACTGTGCCCCTGAAAAGTTCACTGTACACTAATGAATAAATAGATCAAATAGTATGATTTTTTGAGTGTGTGAAAAAAAAAATCAAAGGTAAAACAAAGTGAATGCATAATACCCTTTAAAACAAGCAAAGCGAACTGGCAAAACAAACAAACTGCAACATCCTATATGAAATAAACAGGCGAAACAAACAACTCGCAACATCTTATAAAGCCAAAACAAACAAACAAAAAAATCAAGATAAAACCCAACGTATTATACATCAAACAAGACCAAATCCGCGCAAAGCAAACAGAACGCAACACCTTATAAGGCAAGAACAGCGAAACAAGCAAAACAAGCAAAATGCACTCAAGGAAAAAAAAAAAAGAAGTAATTGAACTGCGATTTTCCCAACCCAGCCATTTCAGTCAGCGCTTTTAAGACGATCGCCATTACACTAAAATGTCTGATCGAAAGAGAATTAAAAGCTCATTGGCTTTATCTGGAAGGCAGTAATTGCAAGCGTAATTAAACGAGATTATAAGGTCTGATAACGATAGCGATTACAGGTGATTTCCACTTTTAAAAAATGTTTTTTATTTTTATTTTCATTTTTTTTATTATTGTGCTGCGTCGTGCAGGGATGACTCAGGAATGTTGCAATGTTTGTGGTGTTAAACTCATGTTGATGTTTTACTCTAAAGACACCGATAAAAGATACATCCACATTATATATATGAATGCTATATTCACATACATAAACATGTTCGTAAAATTAATGGGCAAGGCAAGGAATGACACGTAAACACACACACACACACACACACACACACACACACACACACACACACTGGCACATAACATACACATAACTATATTCGTTAAAGAATCCTTCAGTGACAAAAGAGAAAGATGTATACCTGAACGAAAACCAATTTATAACAGAATGACGTTCTGTAACTGATAATGATAATCATGAAGCTGATAAAAAATGATAATAACAGCGGTAATGACAATGACAATAGCAACAGCGATTTCCATATTGATGAAAACAATAATAAGAGTAACTTGTGGGGCCAGGGATATTTCATGAAAGAGAAAGAGAGAAAAAAGAAATAAGGTGCTCCTCTCTCCCTCTTTGACCCTTTTCTTTCCATTCTTCACTTCCCCGCTCCCTTTTCCTTTCTCCACTGAGCCCACTATCACTTACAATGATAAAAATAATGATAATGATGTCTGTGATAATAATGACATTGATAACAATTTTTATGATTATAAAACAGATAATGAACAACAATACAACACCAATACCAATAACAATGATAATAATAATGATATTGATAATAAGAATAAGATAATGACAATAATAGGAATAATAGTAATAATATAATGATAATAATAATAATAATAATAATAAATTAATAATAATAATAATAATAATAAAAATGATGATGATGATGGTGGTGATAATAACGATAATGATAAGAGTAATGATAATAATGGTTATGATGATTAGCATACTAATAATAACAATAATTATACCCATAATAAATATAATGGTAACAATAATGATAATAATGATAACAATGACAATGGTAATAATAATAATGCTAACAATTCTAATAATTTTAATGATAATATCAACATTAACAACAAGTTCTAAAATAATATTAATGATAATAACAAAAATAGTAACTTTAGCGATAAGCGGTAATAATGATAATGATATTTATGGTAACGCTAATAACAATAGTAATAACAATGATGATCACAATGATAATAATAATAAAGATAATGATAATAGAAAAATTAACATCATCATCAACAACAACATACATCAGCAATAATGATAATGATAAGATATACAAAATACAATAATCATGATACCGATAAAAGTAATAAATCAAAAAGTTTTTTCCAACTCGTCAAGGAAACCCCATTCTTCTCATAAACGACACAAAGACCAACCAGTAACTTTCATTCCTTTTTTGTTACCGGTTTTGTTTTCCATTATTTTCTGTATTCTGTTGTTTCTTCTAAAGCGACTATTGCACCCGAGAGATCACAAGCATTCAGCCAAGTGTCTTGAAAAGAGTAAGGAATACTCACCAGATCGTGTGCAAATTTTCATTTCTCTAAGGTTTTCGACTCAGAAAAGCGAGCTCTATACAACTCTTTGTCTGTCTCCGTCTTCTTTCCCAGCTTATAACCTGTTCATTGTCAGAAAGACCTGCAACATACCTGGGCTTCTCTCTTCGCCTTAAATGCCTTTTCTTTCCTTCGTCGAGGGTCGTCGATTAAGCCTTCGCACAGAGGAGTAAGCTGGACAGAAAGGAAATTCTTTTGAAGTCGATGGTATTAAGTCGAATTGGCGAATTGGGTTATTATAGTGAATGTTATTATCATTATCATCACTGTTGTTTTTATTACTACCATTATTATAATTATCATCATTATCATTTTCATGAGTATCATTATTTTCATTATTATCATAATCATTAACATTATTACTATTTATTTTTCTGATGTCAGTGTTACTTCCAGTAACATTCTTTATTATTGACATTGCTGTCATCATCGATATCACAATTCCAAAAACATTATTGCAAACCAGTTGCCATTTTAATCAGTTATTATTATAATTTCTATCATCATTGTTAGTAAGTCTAGGCACTCTGCATCTACCACAGAACCGATAACTTTGGATGCACTTTATGGTTCATTCATTTACTTACTGATCGTCATTGTTCTTAATAATTTTTAAGCAGAACGCATGACTAACTCTCACAAAACCTCTTATTTGACCAGATGAAATACCCGCTGCATCTGGACAATAGATCACGGGAATGTGTTTTTATTC